GAACTGCTTAGAATGTTAACAGCCGGTTCTAGTGAATAGGTGTGAACTGGTAGAATCCCACCCCTGCTTTAATGGAAGATTTGGGGGGGGAGGGGATTCCTGGGGGAAGAATGATACAACTTTCCCAAGCAATTAATACCTGCACTCTTCTTTTCTTCCCTCCGAGTGCGCTTCAGACGTTTCAGCATACCCCTCAAGTCAGTAATTCCATACTGAAATGCAATCTTCTCATAGTCATTGGGATTTGCATTCTTCAGGAGTTCCCACACGTCTACTTCTGGCTCTTCTGGTTCCTGTTTAAATTCCCTAATCAGGAACAAAGTTTTAAAAAAACAAAAGAAAGAAGAAAAGGGATGTGGCCTGGATTAATGAGATCTTGTATATTGTGAACGTCGCAGCTGGAAATCAAATCCAAGGAAGACTATGTCTGAAATGCTTTAGCTAGGCTTAGGAATGGGTTGGTTAAATGTTTGGTTATATGGTTAAAGATCTTAATAGCAGAAAGGAAGAGTATAGCAGGATACATACTTACCCCATGTCTTCAGTGGGCAGTACATTACAGATCTTCAATTAGCTCTTTGAACTGAAACCTATGCATTTTCACAAGAATGAAACTAGAAGTCTGCACTGTGCATTGTCTGAAAACTGTGAGATATACTAGAAACAGGAAATGTTAAAGTGTCTGGGATTAACAACAAATGGATTAGTTGGGTCAGGAATTAAATATGGAAAACTTCTATTAATATTTTAGTCTGAAACCTAATGAGATGTCATTTTCCGACCTACAGAAAGGATGTTAGTTAATGATGTCCTTCATTCTAAGGACATCGCTATCATGATTAGATTGCTTTTCCCTGCCATATTAAGATTTTTGCAAGGATGGACTGGTGAAATCGTCATGGAAGGCAGACACATTCAGGAGAATTCTGTCTATTAGGCATAGTTTTTGAGTATCATCAGAAGTGTAATTCTGAAGTTTACTGTTTCTATATTTCAAGATTACTTTTACCACATAATTTTACTTAAATTAACCTAGGGTAAAAAAAAAGTGGCCCATCAAATTTGCTTTGAAATTAGTCTTCTACAACCTGAATTTTTCCAGAGGTTTTTCTAGATGTTCCAGAATTCCAAGTCACCATGGAGGTCAAAGTCCAACACATCTGGATAATACCAGGTCAACAAAAGATTGATTTTAGACTCTTCTTAATTTTTAGTGTAGTGTGATCCTAATATAATTGGAACATCTTAAAGAAATGTCCTCGGATACAATACTTGCACATAGGAAAATTAAATTTCATAACATGAAAACTTATTCATACATCTTATGCTGATCTTACACACTAATTAAAAGAGAAGTGAAATGAATTACATTGTGTTGGAATAAACATTTCTCCAAATAAAAGTTACTGGAAAAAATTCTTTTTTGTTTATTACTTCAAAAGATTATTTTGTATTTAAAAGATGGTAAGAATGACTGTAGCTGATATTATCATACCACATTGCAGAAAAACCTTATGTTCTTTTAATATAACAACATAGTAAGTCAATGTCTATTGCAATTCTACACAATCACCTTTTCAATATATTGGAAAACTGGAACCAGCTAAAAATATTAGGACAATTAAATTATGGTGTTAACATTTATGATAGTGACTTTATTTACTGCTTATTTGTTTATTACAACTAGAATTTGCTGAGCTTGGCGACTTGATGGAACACTGCAGTATCTTCCCAAAGGTCATATCAAAATATAAGCATCTTGTGGAACTTGCATACATTCAAGAGGCATTTTTTCATTCCACTACTTTGGCTGTGTTTTCTAGCTATGAAAGCTACCAGCCAGCCACCCACCTCTATCAACAGGAATCAAGATAAGGATGTGCACCTTTATTTTTGTAAATAATAAGATGCATCCTGATTTTCAAACCATAATAAGAAAGTGTTTTTCAGTCTCTTCATTTAATTAAAGATGATGCTTCCATCAGGATTTGTTCAGTAGTTCAACAAAGAACATCTATTTCAATTTTATTTCATAGATGAAAATACTGGTTGGGTATATAACAAGGTGGATCTTTCATTTGTTTTAGACAAATCTCTAGCAAGTGATGCAGCTTTTTCCCTCTTCCCATAAAATATTTTGTTAAGCGTAGTCTGATTTTGTTTAAAAAAAGTAGAAGTCATTAAAATATGTGTAAAACTATTTTAGTCATTTAGATTTTTTAAAAATCCTCAAATGTCATTTACAATTACATTCATTACAACCAAATTTCTAAATCTACTTAGCTTCTAATATCTTTTTTTCTCCAGAGAGTGTGATAATATATATATATTTTCTTAAGTTTTCGTGGGTATTTATATATATGGTATTCAGCTTTGTTCGAGTATTTTCCCACGTGATTATAGTTGTGCTTTTAAACTTGTAGCAACATTTCGGTAGAATCTCATCTGCCATCATCAGGCTTCTGTATTGTGTTTGTCTGTGAGTCAGACTTTTACAGCCTTTTCTGTTTTAAATTTGGTGCTAGCCTACTGCTGTGCCAAAATGGTTTTTTCTTCATCCTGATTGGTTGGGAGTCTTGGTCTGTGTTTATCGGTCTTGGAGTTTGCTGTGTTCTGCTTGAATATCTTCTGTCTGTTTTGTAGCATTTTTTTGTCTTGATTGGCTGGCAACATTGTGTTTCCTGTATTGGAGGCTTTTAGTGTGGCTTGGCTCTGAGTAAACAGACGGGTATCATTTATTAGCAAGCTAGGTTTCATTTGGGTGCCTAGTTGGGGTTTGTTTGAGCTGGAGGTATCAGGGGGAGTCTGTTTGTGCCCAGGTGTTTGCCTGGCTTGTGGTGTGGAGATTTTTTTGTTTGAGAGTGCAGGTTTCCAGATAATTGACAGTCTGGTAGAATCATCTCTTCTATTCATGCTTTCAGGTCTTTTTTCAATCTCTATGGCTTCTCTGATAATTCTGTAGCTGGAGTTTTCTATAGTGGCTAGGGTTTTGGTGCCATTGAAGTCGATGCTATGACCTGTGGCTTTCATGTGTTGGACTAGTGAGGAAGTGTGTTCTAGCCTTTTTACTACATTTTTGTGTTCATCTAGGCGGGTACTTATTCTTCTATTGGTCTCTCCAATGTACGTGGCAGGGCATGATGCACAGGGGACTTTATATATGCCTTGGTTTTCCAGGTCAATTTTATCTTTGGGGTTTACTTGGAGCCAAGCCGCACTAAAAGCCTCCAATACAGGAAACACAATGTTGCCACCTAGACCTACATACCTGTACCCGTGAAAATCTATGAAACACACACACACACACACACACACACACACACACAGTTAGATACATATCCAGCTGCCTTTGAAATTTAGTTGATTACATTACCACTGATAGTTTAATCTAGAATTTGGCCACTATTTGATGCAAGGCAAAGGCTCAGATTTCACAAATGCAGTTATGCATTTGTCTAATAGCCAGGTTATTGATTGTTGACACAGACTATAATGTAATCTGACATCATGACAGATGCAAAAGATCAGGTCCACATGTTAAGGTCCATGTTAAGCCAGGGCTGTCAAACTCATGGCCTGTGTCCGATTTAGCAAAGGGGGGAACATTCATAATATGTCACGTGATGTGATGATGCGAGATTGTCATCCCTGAGTTAAGCTGATTGATTGCTACTCATGCCTATGCACAGGAATATTCTCAATGAATGATTAGCACCTGCTAGGAGTTAGACAGGGAACAACAATGGATTTCAAGCAGGGGTAGGCTGCTGAGGATTCTCAGGGGTTCAGGAGATCCTCTACCTAAAATTCTGTGAAGTTTGGAGAACCTCAAAATCCCACTCCTGGCTGACCCCACTCACCCTGCCCCTCCTCTCCCTGGAGTCCCCACATGGCCCATTTTGGATGCAGATAAGTGCAGGGCAAGCAAAGAGTCTCAGGGAGGGTGAGAAATGGGCCTCACGGAAGTTCAGAAAAGCCAGAAATGGGCCAGTTGAAAAGAAGGCTTCAAGTAGGGTATTGATTGATAAATCAATTTTAAAAATTAGACAAATTATTTTTTAGGAAGTGAGGATAACTGCATCATTTGCTAGAGATCTGTTTTAAAAAGTAATTAGCTAATTTAAGCAAAATTTGATTATGCTTAGACCGGAAGTAGATGGCTATTTCAATGCTCTTCTTGATTTCGGTATCCTACCCCTGGTGACGGAAGTTTCATTTTTAATATTTAAGTGAAGACCTTAGTTTCACGTCAAAGCATTACTACTCTATCAACATAGCAATACATTTCTATACATTGATACAGAGACATTTATATTCATATGCAACAAAATGAATATTATCCCAAGTCATCATTTCACACTATCACAAACTCCAATGAAAGGGTTTTCCATGCATTAAGTTGCATCTTAGTAGGAAACCACAAAATTACTTAGTAGTAAAGCCAAGCATATGAAATATACATATGGAAAGAGAAAGAGAAAGAAAAAAATGAAGACCTGGCAGGAACAAATAAAAAAAAAAAAGGTGGGTTTACCTTTTTAAATAATTTATTGGAGAACAGTATCTGCTATGGTTCAGAATCAAACACTGCCTATTCCATATGTGTGTTTTATTTAATTTTATTTAACAGGCAGTGTTGGAATCAGTTTAGGTATACAGGCACTTCTCGATTTACAAGTTTGTTTAGTGACCATTCAAAGTTACAACGGCATTGAAAAAAGTGACTTATGACCAATTTTCACACTTACAACCATTGCAGCATCTCCACGGTCATGGGATCAAAATTCAGGCATTTGACAACTGGCTCATATTGATGATGGTTGCAGTATCCTGGGGTCATGCGATCACCTTTTGTGACCTCCTGACAAGCAAAGTCAACGGGGAAGCCAGATTCACTTAAAAAACTGTGTTACTAACTTAAAAACTTCAGTGATTCACTTGAAAACTGAGGCAAGGAAGGTTGTAAAATGGAAGAAAGTTCACTTAACAACTGTCTCATTTAGCAACAGAAATGTTGGGCTCAATTGTGGTCATAAGTCAAAGACTACCTATAAAGTTAAGGCACGAGAATAGAAACCAGCAGGCTGTGAATTCTAGTTTTGCTTTAGGTGCAAAGCTGGCTGGGTGATCATGGGCCTGTCACTTTCTCTCATCCCTAGGAAGGAGGCAATGGCAAGTGGCTCCTGAAATTGTCAAGAAAACTTCAGGGACTTATCCAGCCAGTCAACATGAACGTAAAACACAAAATAAAATAATTCAATTTATCTACCCTCCTTCTCCAAGTGACTCCCAATGGCTCACAATATAATAAAAACTGTGGTGGCGCAGTGGCTAGAATGTAGTATTCCAGGCTAACTCTGCTCATTGCTAGAAGTTTGATTCCTTCAATCCTGACTGGCTGAAGGTTGACTCAGCCTTCCACCCTTCCAAAGTCAGTAAAATGAGGACCCAGATTGTTGGGGGAAACATGCTGACTCTGTAAACCACTTAAAGAGTCCTGTAAAGCAGAATGAAGCAGTATAAATGTCTAAGAGCTATTTCTATTGCTAATCCCATTAGAAAGAAAATAAAAGAAATGAAGGATCCTTGGTGGTCTCTGAGCTTGGATGTTTTCTTGCAGGCTTTCATTACCAAAATTAGGTAACATTATCAATGCTACTAAGGAGTGGAGTTTGGTCTCAGTTTATGTTCTAATGGTTTGCCCTGTCAATGTTGGTCAAAATTGTCATGGAGCTTCTTTGTTTGGGCTGTTTGCTGTTGGCTTCTTTGGCAATTCCTTGATTGGGTTATTGTTTACTTGATTTTTGGTCTGATGTTAATACTACAAGTACTCTCCTTTATTAACAAAGGAAACGTTGTAGGAAACTATATGTACCACTTTCACCATGTAGATGGGTAAATTTGAAATGGGATCTCAGTCTTGAACCTTAACTATTATTGTTTTTGTAGCCTATTGAGGAGAATAAGGTGTGGAAAACCAAAACCATATAGAACTATAAAAATACAAACAAATGTCTGAAGACTTGTTCATATTGTTAATCATATCTCAGCTGACATCTTCTTGGATTATTTTAATTTAAAAAAAAATGTTTCCCTGCATCTTGTTTTATAATACCTTCTCAAATTCCAGAGAGATGCTTAAGTTTACAGTCACACCATGGAAGCATTTACAATTAGAACACAGTAAATCATTTTGTAGCATTATAGCAGAAAGCAAATTCTCAAGAGCAGTTTAATTTTCTTTAAAATAAAAATTCCATACCAGGATCATTTGTTTGAATTTCTCATTCCACTTACGGGGGTGGGGGTGAGGTTGGGGAAGCATGCAAGACAAAACACACAGAACCCTCATCCAATGTTATACTTTAACTTATCTGAGACACTTCAATGTTATTATTAAAGCATAATATGGTATCAACTGTAAGAAATAGCATTATATTCTAGGATTTCACTCGTTTCTTGTCAATGTGCTGACTTAAATTTAAGCATGCGTTGTTCTTTTGAGAACTCAGCTTTTGTAAAATAAGGAAAAAGTTATAACATTTTCTGAATGTATTAACTCTACACCTGAAATTTTCTGTGCACGAACTGAACCATTTTGAATAAACATTTCTCCATCACTTGGTTCTCACCTACGTTTCAGGAGACCACTAAAGTCAAGTTCTCCTGCATCCTCTTGTCCTTCACCACTGTTATTAATAAACAAACAAACAAACAAAAACAAATAAACAAACAAAAAAGATCAAGTCTTCATTTAATATGCAGAAAGTCAAACAACACATGTTGCATATATCCTAGCTGCCCTCCCAATGCAATATATATGCAAACACACAAAGAAAAATATTATGTCAACACAAACTTGTATTCTTTTTCACAGGATTTACAATTTCTGTAACAAGCACTTGTGAAACGTGAACACAAAGATTTGCATTGCTCCAGGTTATACCTGTTCAGGCAAATTCTTGTAAATAGAATCATAAATTTGCCCCAATGTGTTATGTGTTTGTGTAACACAAACGTGTTTTTAAGGTGAGTTAGCACACAGGGCTTTCTTTTAACAGCTTCCAGTGTGCATACCTAAAAATGCATCAATAAATAAAATAAAGGGCTTATGCTGAACTCAGCTTTAATGTAAATCAAATACTTGCATTATTATTTGTGCTGTACAAAACAATGCAAAATTCTATGAAATAAGTTAAGTTTCTTTTAAAACTAGTTAGCAAGGAGAACCTGAGAATCTGAGATCCTATCTCGCATGCATTATGTGTTGCATGATTTTAAAGATGGGAAGCCATAGGGAAAGATAGTTAAAAATAGAGAAATGGATGTTTAGAACATATTGAGCATTAACACTATCACTGAAATATTTATAAATAGGATTTAATGTGTTTGGCACTGAATTCAAGAGCTTGAAACCAGCAGGCTTACCTCTTTAGGCAATGACTGGGAAAAAACGTAAACCAGTGTATAATTTAAAAAAGGGGGAGGGGGAGCTAGGTTGTTGTTTTTTTGTCTGTGTGGGAATAGGGAATTATCTCTTCCTATTGCATGGCTATAGGAAAAGAAAAGGCCTTATGCTCTCTTCCCTTAAATATATTTATTCAGCCTATACACGGAATATATATTAAGGAAGCTGGATTGGAAAAAGTTGAGTGTGGTTTTAAAACTGGAGGAATAAATGTTAATAATCTGCATTTTACTAATGACACTACTCAGATAGCTGAAAATGCAAAAGATTGGCAAGCTCTAGCAATAAAAAATCACAGTGAAAATAGTAATTAAATTTGAAGAAGATAGTAATTAAATTTAAAGAGGACCAAACTAATGACAACAGGTACAACAACAGCCATACTTAGAATTGACAGAGAAGATATTGAAGCTTTTAGGACCAAACATCAACAGTAAATGAATAAGCAGTCAAGAAATAAACACAGGCTAGTACTTGGCAGAACAACCATGAAGAGCATGGAAAGGCATTCATATGCCAGGATATGTCTATGTCTACAAAGTTCAGAATAATGCAGGCAGTGGTATTCACAGTGACCTTCTATGGAAGTGAAGTTGGACTTTGAAGAAGCAGCATAGAAAAAGTGTTGACACTTTGGAGATCTGGTGTTGAGAATACCATGGACAATCCAAAAACAAGCAAACAAATAGATCAACCCAAAGTTCTACCTTGAGACACAAAAGACCAGGCTATTCTATTTCACATGAAGACTTAGCTCTCTCTAATGCTGGGAAAGTGAAAGAAAAAGGAAGAGGAAAACCAATGATAAAATGGGTGGGCTTAGTAACAGCAGCAATGGGGACATCCTTGGAAGATCTGAAAGCCAGGTTAGCGATAGATTGTCAAGGAGAAAATGTATTTCTGTGGCTGCTAAAAGTCAACATTGACTTGAAGGCATATAATCAATCAATCACACAGCTAAAACTTTCTATTCCTTTGTACCAATGTACAGGTAACCTGCATTTTTTCTGATATCTGTTTATTTCTCTTCCACCACATCAATTCCAACATCAAACCTCAAAGTCACCAGAAATAATGCTAGATGGAGAACAAATGAAATTGAGTAGATATGTCTTTTTAAAAAATTGACATCACAATTTGTACTTTCCTTAAACAGAATTTTATATATCTGCTTATTTAAAAAAAATAGGAAAAGTTAATATGGTGTTGAGGATATCATTAATCATTTTTGGGAGGCTGGGTATAAAAGCTCTTTTTATATTTTATAAAAGCATTTTTTTTCAACTGCATTGCCCTATTAAAAATGAATGCCAATCAGTCCTTTGAGATTGTCCTTTGAGATTGTCTAGATCAGAAAACAGTTTCCTGCCTAAGCAGGGGGTTGGACTAGAAGACCTCCAAGATCCCTTCCAACTCTGTTATTCTATTCTATTCTATTCTCTTCTATTCTATTCTCTTCTATTCTATTCTATTCTATTCTATTCTATTCGAACTAGAACTATGCTTTCTTGAGATAGGCTATGTTCAAAGAATGTATACAAGTGTGAGTGTGTTTTCCCTTCCCTCCCTCTTATATCACAAGGAATCAGGGAAAAGCCAGGCTGAGTCTCTTCTTGATACATAACTTTCTCCTTTCTAGGATTCAAGGCCTGCGTTTAAACTTTTTGTTTTTGTAATGGTTTCAGAATATTTTCCTCAAAGTCATCTTCTTAGAACCTTACGATCCTTGTCTTAGAACCTGAATATTGGACAGAAAAAGAAATAGAGACGCTTCAAGTTCATGCAGAATTAAATGCTTGAATGTCTGAAGATGTATGAGTCCTTCTGACTGAGTAAAGGAGCCAGGAGGTCTTCATGGGGTTGGATAGAATATAGCTATAGTCAACAAAGGATTCAGCTGCTCAGATGTATTTATAATAACAAGAGACTCGTGGTCCAATACCTGAGAGCCAGTTTGGAATAGTGGTGAAGTCATGAGGCTAGAAATCAGGAGGTTGTGAGTTCTAGTTCCACCTTAGCAGAGGTGGTATTCAGCAGGTTCTAACCAGTTCTGGAGAACCGGCAGTGGAAATTTTGAGTAGTTTGGAGACCCGGCAAATACCACCTCTGACTAGAGATTTTACAGTATCCTTCTTCTGCTACACCCACCAAGCCATGCCCATAGAACTGGTAGTAAATTTTTTTGAATCCCACCACTGCACCTTAGGCACAAAGCCAACTGGATGACCTTAGGCCAATAACTTTCTCTCAGCCCCAAGAAGGAGGCAATGGCAAATAACTTCTGAAAAACCTGGCTAAGAAAAGTGCAGGGATTTGCCCAGGCAGTTTCCAAGAATCAGACATGACTGAACAGAATTTTTAAAAAATAGTCCAAAAGTAACAATACTTTGAAAAACTGTAAAATGCTATATAGAAAATGTAATCAGGATTAGTTTGTTCAAATATTCATAATATTTAGCTTTCCCTTCCTCCCCATCTCTGTGCTATTCCTCCCCATCTTTAGTTATAACTTGCATTTAATTGCAATTTTAATGTGATTTTATATATAAAAATAATACGTCTTCTTTGTGGCAACATATTTTAAAAAAGCTATTAAGTCTGAATAATTCTGAGATATGGGGTGCCTTATATGTGGTGCATCTAAGTGATCTTAATCCATAAAAGGTCATTTCACAAGTCAGAGTCTTGATTGTTTTTTACTTTACATTTAATTAAGCTGTCTGTAAGGTTAAATCTCACAATCTTGTTCTAATGGGTAACAGCTGGTCAGGATCTGAAGCACTTCTCTCAACTGCTTCTTAAGTGAAGGAAATGTAAGATCCACAACTGATTTACACTCTTGTCACCAGTTCTTTTTTATTTAATATGTTCAAGGTGACCAGTCTATCTAGGTAAGGTTGGTCAAAGAAGACCATATAAAATTAGTTGGCAGAACGAATTAGTTCTTCTTGCTTTCTTGACTTAGTATCAATCTGCGTGTAAGTATCTGGCCTCACTGGAGGCCACTCAATGAAGTGGAAAACATCAAAGGAAAGGGGATTATAGGAATTTTCTATATCTGGAGCAGATCCCCTAAATTTCTCACCCTAAATCTATAAAAGTTGTGGAACTCACAGTCAGATAATTACAGAAGGCACTAATAACATTTAAAAGCTCTGAGTTATATTACCATACATGCTGTTTGATCTGATCTTATAGTTCATGTTTTTCAATTGCTTCGTGAAGAATTTGAAGTTGCTTAAGATGTTGGAGCCTTTCCCATTTCTCAGACAAAAAGCAAACATCCAGACAAGCCCACATGTCCATAATTACAAACTTCTTCCTCACAGCAGCATTCCTGCTGCCAAATTGCAGTAGAGAATTTTGCAGTTTCTGGAAGTTGTAGTGATGTGGACTTTAATTCTTTCCAATTTTCCTGCTCCAGACGATGTCTCTCTGCTAATATTAGCAACAGAGAAGTAGTGATCTCTACCTAAAATTAAGGTGACCAATATTGGAACAAAAAGGTCAGGTAAAGGGTTTTGTAGGGGACAATCAGAGTAGCCACCGATTTTAGCTTTGTTTGAATCTACTTCCTGCAAAGGGTGTTAAAAGAGACTGTAACTTGTGTGATGTTTTCAATACCTTTTACTGAAGGAGTTTTCAAGATCTTTTAAAATTACCTTCTTTTGAATGCAGACCGGATATCTAATGACTGCGTAGGTCCTGTTTCTAAAAAATAAAATAAAAAATAAAGTTTTAATTCTTGACATTTTTCAAGGATAAAACCTGGGCAGAGAGTGACTGTGTGATATATGACATTTATTTGATTTAGAATGTGGTATGTTCAGTCAATGCTGTGTACAGCTCAAGTAATCATGTATGCACAGAGGTGAACAGAATCCTATTGGCAAGTGACAAAAGGATCTAACTCTTGGCAGTATTATAAACTTCTTTGCAATTCATTATTCAGAATGGTTTACCTGAAATGATAAATATTAAAAGTAATAAAAGAGATCCTTCATAAAATGAAAGCAATTTTGCAAACCTGTATCTGCAATATAATCAAATATAATAATCAAGGAAATTATGTAGGGAAGAGGCAAAGAGAGAGCAAGTCAGAGAGATAAATAAGAATGTGTGGTCCCCTGATTAAAGTGTAAGACTAACAATAGGGAGACAAAGGTTGTAGCCTTCGGTAGGCATAGAAACCATCCAGGTGATTTGGAGTCAGCTATTCTCTCTCAGCCCTACAATAGGAAGTTTTAAACAAAACGCTACTAGCCTGCACTGCAGTTGCGTGATAGAACATAATCAATAACCTTTGATGAAGAATTTCAACTTGCAGTGATTTGGTTTGTGATTATATATATATGTAGTCTTTGACTTATGACCACAATTGAGCCCAAAATTTCTGTTGTTAAGTGAGAAATTTTTAAGTGAGTTTTGCTCCATGAAATGGCCTGTCTTGCCTTGGTTTTTAAGTGAATCACTGCAGTTGGTAAGTTGGCAACCTGATTGTTTAATTGAATCTGGCTTCTCCATTGACGTTGCTTGTCAAAAGGTCGCAAAAGGGCATCACATGACCTTGGGATGCAGCAACAGTCATAAATATGAACCAGCTGCCAAGGATCAGAATTTTGATCACGTGATGTACCTGTGGAAAATGGGCATGTCCCTTTTTTCAGCACTGTTGTAACTTTGAATGACCACTAAATGAACTGTTGTAAGTTGAGGAGTATCTGTATATGTAATCCTCAAATTACAATGGTTCATTTAGTAACTGTTCAGCAATACAACACCACTGAAAAAAGGGACTTATAACAGTTTTTGACACAACCATTGCATTGTCTCTGTGATCACATGATCAAAATACAGATGGCTAGCCATTGACTCATTTTTATGATGGTTGCAGTGTCCCGGGGTCATGTGATCCCCTTTTGCAACCTTCTGACAAGCAAAGTCAACAGGGAGGCCAGATTCACTAAACAACCATTCTACTGACTTAACTGCAGTGATTCACTTAACAACGGTGGCACTTAGCAACAAAAATGTTGGACCCAACTGTGGTCGTAAGCCAAGGACTACCTGTATAGTTGCAGTGGTTTTCTAACCAGAAACCAGAATAGATAACCAGAAACAAAGTAGAATGATGTAAAAGTAAAAGGGATACAACCCAACACTGTACAAGCAGACTTCCATGAAGAATTTCTCTCTTCCTTTCCCACATCTGAAGGCCCTTTTAAATCTGCTCTGGAAGACAGGAGAATCCCTTGGAGCAAATTCTGAAAGGTGCCCAGAGAATTATGGGAGAAATGGATATTTCCCATTCTACTCTCCAAGAAAAATGGGTTCCGCAAATAAAAGCATATTATGGATTACATATCTGTTATAAAGATTTTATTTAATTAATTAAATATAATATAGCCAAAATAACTGTGAGCTAAAAATAGAGCATAAGCTTATACAATCAGAACATCTAAAATAAATCATGAAGTGTTCCTATAATCTGGACATCCCTTAAATTCTTCATACTGATTGAAAACGTCTTTAGAAGTCAGTAAAACATCTGACTAAATTGGTAAACACAGAGGTCAGGTTCACCTTGTGTTTGATTAGACACATAATTAGACAAAGCCATTTACAGAAGCTTATGTCTGCCAAAAGGTTGGCTATTTGCCAACCTGCTTCTGAATTGAACCAGAGGTTGTGGTTTGTCTGGTTAGCTGTCAGCTGCTGGACATTCCATTAAAGTCCATTCCCTGATGACTTGACAGATTAATGAAGATGCTGACCTTGGTAATCTGGTAGACTTGTGTTGCTAGAGTGAACAACTCTCTGGGTTTGCTGCCAACTACTGGAAGTCTTGGATATTTGGAAGGCCTGCCTAGATGTTACTGACAGCCATATGGTCAGCAAAAGTCCAGGAGTTGTGGCCTTCTGAGGTTCTAAATCCTTTGATCTTGGATGGACTCGATTTAATCCATAAATACATTTTATGCTGCAAATCTCCATAGGATAATCTTTTTTTGGTTCCTCCACATCAGTGTTGCCTCCTGGCAACTGCCTGGAAAAGTCCCTGAAGTTTTCTTGGTGAGATATCAGAAGAGGTTTACCATTGCCTTCTTCTGAGGGCTGAGAGAGAGTATGTAATTGGCCCAAAGTCACCCAGATGGATCCATGTCCAAAACGTCCCAATTTCTAGCCTGATACCTTAACCATTACATCAACCTGGTTCTCTTACAAGGCCACTAAGACAGATTTAAACATGCTAGACAAGTATTAGGCTCTGATCTTCCATCTATGCTTAATGTTAAAGCTGAGACTTAAAAGTATACTGTAAGAAGTTTTTCATCGTTGTTTGTAAACTTCATCGAACTGGGATACCAAACTGATGGCAAAGCTGCTGCTCTGCTCCTTGATTGCCATCACATGATTCTGAGAGACAGAGACAACCTAAGGTAGTTTACTGCCTGAGGGAATTCAAAGATGGCCCTTTCTCCAACTCTCATTTCATTTCTAAAAGATAGAACTGACTTTCTTTGCACAGGGAGTTTCACCAAATGATTTTGGCAAAGATAGTTCTATTATCCAACACCTATGATCCCGCTTTCCAACATCTGCTGTTTGATAAAAACAGTTCACTCTCCTAGAACAATGTAGAATAGGATGTGTTAATATAGACACTTCTAAGGTGTTTTGATGGTTCTAAATCACTATGATGTCATCATGCATTAATGAGGCAAAGTCTGCTTACATGTCTGGGTAAGCTCTTCTTTTTTGAAAACAAATCTATACCTATGCTAAAATAGTTTAAAATCTGATGGCCCTTTATTTCATTCTTTTGTCTACAAAGATAGGAAAAGTTTGGTTTCAATGGAGTTTAAGACTTAATGCCCTTTCTTTTGGGGGTTTCATGAAAATCTACTAATGGGAAAAGCTTTTGCTCAAGTCAAGATGAAAGCTGTTTTTGACATTCCTAAAGGATAAATTTATAGTCTTGAGCTGTCAGCCCTGGTATCCATCCTGTTCTTTGTCCAAATATACACTGAATACTTCAGCAAGCTTCAGAAATAATTGCTTCAAGGATATAGCATGAGCTCACCAGCTCAAAGATATTCTGAATCCTTTCTCCTGCCAACTGTGAATTAAAGTGAGTGTTTTAAAAGATGGTGGAGATAGATAGGTCTTTCCATGGATATTAGCCAAAATGTTACATGAAACTTTCACATTCAGGAGCAGTTAGCTATTCAGTACCAGTTGTTGGGATGCAACAGCAGCAGTAGAGGAGAGCAATGGATCTCTAGTCTGTCCTGTAGACTTTCAGAAGATCTTCCTTGTGAATTTTCTGGATGTTTCAGTTAGAACCCTGATCAAATTCATGAGTCTTGTATACTGATAATTCTTTGTCAGAAACACTTTATATCCTAGGACCCAAAGCTTGGGCTATGAGCTAGTTGCCAAATTGTCAGAATAATTGATACCATTCTTATTTCCAGATATTACTGACATTTCTTTGACATGGGGATAGAGATGCAAAACTCTAGGGATATAGTACTCCCTCACTGGGCCTAACAAATGACATTCTGTTCCATTCTTGATGCTTTTATCTCCTATTAGACTCTTGATCTCTTCTTTTTCTTTCTTTCTGAATTTAGTTTCCTCAGCTCCACTTCATACTGCCAAATCAAAAAACCCTTTTAGATTTCAATTCCAGTTCTAAAAAGTTGTTCAGGATGGCACGCTCCTCCTCATTATCTCTGAATAGTGCTAAAAATACAGAAGGATAATTTTCAAATATGGAAGAAAATGCTGAGCCTGGAGGCCATTCAAAATTTAAGTAAATATAAAGTAGCCTTTCCAAAGCCTGGGATAGATTTCATTTCATATAATCCCACTTGTTCACAGAGTTAATCTATTTTGTTTGTGGAATTACAGGAACTGAAATCTAACATGGCATAAATAAATAAATAAATAAATAAATTCAAGGTTAGTTTTGGGAACAGAAGTTTTTATCTTAACATAGGACACATATTCACCATTTTAAAATATATCTATGTAAAGCAAGATTCTTACCATGAACTTCCAGATCAAAAGAACAGCTATCAACTTTATCCTTATATGTTACTTCACATCTATAATTTCCGGCATAATTGTCCTTAGCTTTGATTATTTGCATCTCAAATGTATATATCTGAAAGCCAAAGGTATAATACAATTATTCATATAAAATCTCAAGAATAATTGGAAACTAAGCACACTTACTTATGAGCATCTTGTATTTTGGCATAATGAAATGGATTGAATTTTTTACTTCTTTTTCACATTTCTTAGTTCTGTTATTTTGCCATACTACTTCTGCTAATAATTGATTTCCAAAACCCCATCTTGACCTCCTTCTGACCATCCAGAACATGACAATTTTGGGTCTTCCAAACTGCATTGTAATTATTTTGACTTCAAATCTGTTATACCTTTTCCTTTTGATCACAGAATTCCTCATTTCCCAACAATTTTATGAGCTCACAGTTTGCCTGGAACTTATGTCCTATGGATTGAGCCTAAGACAATCCATTACTGTGTAATCACAAGAATCACTTTGAACAATAAATCCCATATCATCTTTCTATTTTTCCAAGCATGTCATTTTAGATAAATGCTCCCACCCACCACCATTAAATTATTTTCTTTACAGGTATGTTTATTGTGGTGCTAAAATTTGCCGAGTAGTAGTAAGTAGTAGTAGTAGTAGTAGTAGTAGTAAATGACAATTTGGTTCAAAATTTAAATGATATATTTTTAAAGTGAATATATTTGGAATGGTATATTTTGAAAAAGGTCATCTTTCTATATATACCTTGGTTTGTCGCTCAAATGTTTCTTTTAACTGAAGATGCTTTCCAACTTTGCTTGCCAAGTCCATCCATTTTCCTTTAAACCACTTAACAGTGGGTTTCCGAAGAAGATCCTGAGCTTCTACTTTCGCTGTGAATGTGATATTTTGCCCTGAAAACAAGCAAGGCAACCAACATAAATCAAAATAGAATTATTCAATAGGGAATATCTGACACATGTAAATGAGATTTAAATACCAAATTCTAAAGCTGGAAAGACTGAAAGGCACACAATGGAAATTTGCAGAAAAGGCAAAATTGGCTTGTTTAATTAGGGAATAACAAATTCCCTAACAATAAAAATCTTAGACAATAACATTTGTCATGACGGAAACCCCTTATGGACTTTTTGCCATAGCTGGAAAAAAACATAAACCTGTTCTTTATGAGATTGATGATTAGAAAGGGCAGAATATGGAATGAAGGGAGCTCCTCTATAACTACATATAGGGAGAATAAAATATAAATGCATTTGCTATAAAGAAAATCATAAGACACTTCTTTATATCTCTTTTTTCTTCTTCTCTTTTTTTCTTTTTTTCCTTGTTTATTCATTGTTTGTCAAGATTGAACTACTTTGCTTCTTTCAAATCTTCTTTCAAATATTTGTCAACTTGCCAATGAACTGGGGGAGGGAAATGGGGAAATAGAATGTGGAGAATATATGCAGATTGTAAGAGCATGGAAGCCATTAAGGTCACCATTGCAGGTGCCTGAGAAAGAGATGGATTGTTACCATAACAAAAGAACATCTCATAATTGGACAATGTGATCATCCAGGGGAGGAGAAAGTATTGTTTAACTGAGCTGATTTTGTTTCTTCAGTATCAAAATAGTGTATCCAATAAAGTTTTACTTTGGGAATTCAATTCTCTTGAGAGTGTTTCCTTGTTGTGGATTCACTAATTGGACAGTTAACATCTCTTCTTTTTCTTTAAATTTTTATTGTTTTTACTTTGTTAAAAAGCACCCCTTTTTAATAATGAAATAAGAGACTGGCATACCAAATTATTTATTTCATTATTTTTATATAAATAATTAATTCAACCGAAGGAAACCAAACGATGTTTTTAAACTATGGATGATTTGTTTCATGAGCAACGGGGGTGGGTGGGTGGGTGGGTGAGGAGAAATAATATCCAGCCCCTATCTAAGGAACAGGGAATGGAAGTAGGGAAATATTCACTTGTATACTTTCAACCTTGTGTTTACTTCCAATAACTGGGATGATGGAGGAGGACACTTGAAGCTTCTTGAAAGCAGCATATTCTTTTAAAGAGTTGGTGAGGCTGCTGTAACACTTCTTAAGTTTTCTTTAGGATTTCACTTATTGTTTTCTCCTGATCCAGAAGTAGTAGAAGAAGCCCCAGAACAACACTGAAGTGCCACAATTAGGCAAACTGGATGATTGCTATGCCTCTATGACACAAACAGCCCACTTGGTTACATATAAAGCTTACTGAAAATGAAAGGATATGGAAAGAAGAAAAAGCATCAAAGGAAAAGTACAGGTAGATAGTCCAGATATATAAAAAAGTAATTGGCTAAAAGAAAATGATCAGCAAGTAAGATTAACTTGATTAGGGACCAATGTAAAGTTCTTCCCTTAAAAAAAACACCACATGCCCTAATATAGGATGGGATAACTGTGCTGTGTAAAATGGCTTAGAGAAAGAAGTAAGAGATTACAAATTGAACATGGACTAACAGAGATGCTTGTCTCTTTTCTAGAGAGACTAGCAAGGAATACAATTTAAGGCTGGATCATCAGCAAATTCTGGACACCAGACTTTAAGGATTGAGAAAAAATGGTATAGGTTCAGAGAAGGACAATGAAAACAATCAAAGGATTAAAAGATGAATCCTACAAAAAGAGATTTAAAGTGATGGTAAATTTAGCCTTGAGAAAATATGCCTGAGAGGAAACATGATAGTCCTCTTACAATGCTGGAAAGGATGTCACCCTGAGGAAGATCAAGACATGTTCTTCTCATTCTGGGTGTAGGACATGGAAGAATAGCTTCAATTCATGGAAAAAAAGATTCCGATTCAATGTTGTGGTTGGGCGACCTAAGTATATGATTGTATGAGTGCATTACATCCACATTCACTGACTAGAGGTCCGTGAGCAATGCTAATTCATAATCACAATGAGCTTTATCATGAACCATATCATCAGTGGTGGCATTCAAATTATTTTACTACCGGTTCTGTGGGCATGGCATAGCTTGGTGGGTATGGCTTGGTGGGCGTGGCAGGGGGAGGATACTGTAAAATCCCCATTCCCGCCCCATCCCACTAACCTGCTTTCCAGCTCCGTTCTCCTGTGCAGGGCAACAAAAGAAGACCCAGCCAATCAGCAGGGACTCGGGAGGCAGAGAATAGATGGGGACGGGGCCAGTCAGAAGTGGTATTCTGAACTATTCAAAATTTCTGCTACTGGTTCTCCAAACTACTCAGAATTTCTGCTGCCGCTACCTGTTGAATACCACCTCTGCATATCATGCATCTATATGCAACCTAATCCTATAAACATTTACAGAGAAGTAAGTCCTTTTTTGCCAGATAGATATGAATAGGGTTGCAGGTGTAATTGTTCTTTTTACACTTACCTACACTAATTGAGCCACCTTTTGGTTTTTCAACAAATAAAACAGATTTCTGTGAATCTTGTTTTTCTCCTTCTTCTCCTGCAGACCATACTAGTATAGAAAACAAGGGAAAATAGCCATTATCAGAATGAACCTATTAATTAAGCAATGCTTACCTAGGTTTCTGGGTTTTTTGGCATTAATATTACTTCTTAAAAATAGACATGTCCTTCCCATAACTCTCATAAGGTTACTGAAGTAAGAAAAGTGGCATACAGAGCACACACTTATGAATGGAGTAGAGTTTTATTATATACTAGTGATATGAGCTGTAACTGTCAGTTACAGTCTTTGCAGTAGTCTTTACCATTGGAATGGCTTCATTGTTTCAAGAATGAACACACAATACTTCATTGGGTTTCAAGTTTTAAGACACATAGCATGGTGATCCCATCTCAGTTCTAAGCTGCACCCAACTGTGGAATGAAAGTGGGGTCTTGGGAATACCCAAGTAGGTAGCTAAGCGAAATTCTATCTATTGAGCTAAAAGAAGTGGTGATGGTAGTGCTGAATGATGCCCAGGTCCCTATTAGTTAACTATACAATATTGGGCAACAGTAAATAAGTCTTTTAATTTCTAATCCTTGGCCTTGCCTAAGAAAAAAAAATATTAAGGTTTTTTTTGCATAATAAAATCCTCCATATCAATTGCTGCAAGAATTATCCTGCTGGTGAAAGCTCTCTTCCATCTTCCAGTAGAAGATACATTTAATGTAATTTTTTGCATGCATAGACATATGTTTGATATGTACAAGATATAAATCTCTGGACTAGAGTCTAGATAGATGTATCTACTGGAATCTAATGAAGAATATAGTGCTATAGAAAGTTTCATGTTAATGTACAGTGGAACCTCAGATTGCGACCGTAATCCATTCCAGGACTACGGTCGCAACCCAATTTGGTTGTGACTGGAAGCACGACTGACTACGCATGCGTGGACACACAAAAAATGGTGCAGAAGGGGAAATCAGCATAGAAAGGGAATCTTTCTGCTCCGATTTTGTTAACCACCCAATTTTTGAATCATGACCTGATTCAAAAATCGAGTGGATTTTTTCGTCGCCACCCGATTTGGTCGTGAACAGAAGTGTTCGTGACCCGAGGTTGCACTGTATACCTTATGGTCATAGTTTTATGGTCTTCTGGCCAACTTTGTGGGGTTGTGAATATCAAAGTCTGAGTCATCTTATGAGGAAAAAGAGAATAACTTGGAATAGCCATTTCAATGAAAAAAAAATCTGCAGAGGAATTTCAAGAACCAGCAGAGAAATCCCTTTACTCTATACTTATCGTACTGCAACAGATTGTCTTTCCAACATTTGCCTCCCTATATAGATCATGGACAATGAATGTTGATGGCTGCATCTAGAGTGATGGCTAGATGGATGAATGTACCAAACCTTATCATATTTCTATCTGTATCATATGCATGGTATGCTACACTATATGGCAAAAACTTCATATGCACTTTTTATTGCCAAGTGTTGCTACTAAATCTTTATCCATCAGCAACCAAGCTGCTCTATGTGTGCTTCTCTGCGAAAGAACTCATCTTTAGAGATAAATTCCTTCTTTTAGCTATATACTTCAGTAATTATATAATTCTTAGTCCGCAGTTTAATCCTGGGGGAAGAAAAATAATACATCAAAATAGCTGGAATACATAACTTCTGTGTGGAATATAATGCATTTGATAACCAATTTAAAAGAATAATGCATTTTGCTAAACAAATCAATAAGAAATAGCTCCCCAATTATGAAATATTTTAAAAAGATTTTGTTTTAATAATTCCACTGTAAAAATGAGTTACAGTGATAGTTGGTAGTTGATAGTTTACTTTATTGTCATTGCCCCTTGTACAACGAAATTAGTGGTATATGAATAAAGGTCAATATTTAGTTTTTCTAAATCCATTTCTTATATCCCAGCTAATTTGAAACACCACTGTGCACTAATGTACTCCAAAGCTTCATATGATTGGAGGCTTCTAGCTTCACTCCAGGAACAAAGGAGAACCCTCGATCATAAGAAGCTATGCTTGCACATTAGGACTTCAGGAACCTTTGAAGCAGGCTTTTTATCTAGATCTGTAAAAAAAAAAAGAATAAAAAGTTTTAATGAGCATAAATCACTTTGCAACTGAAAAAGGAAGCTACAAAAAAAAAACACCTGTTAATAGGTAATGAAAATTGGAATGTTTTGAGTTTTGCCTTCTTTCTTTTCAGATTTAGTGTATCTCACCTGAATCCTTCCTCTCTCCAGGTTTATTTGTACCATCTGAAAAGTAAGCATAAACTGGATGATATCAACATTCAAAAGTTATTATCTTGATTGCTAAATTGACTATGTAGAATTGTGGGCCCTTCGTATTTTTTTAAAAAAGGAAGAAAATTATAGGTTGTAATGAATTGTTTAAAAGGAGAGTGGGAGGTACATCGTTTTGTTGAAGCTGAGCAGGTGGGGTCTTTAACCAGTACCTGGTATGATAATGGGTTGAGCAATCCTACCTGTTGAAAAGATTTCTATTGGTGGTGGTATTAATATTTACTATAAGTTTGTTATGGCCACTCACTCCAAAATGCTTTGGATGCCTATGGTAGAGCCTCAAGTAGAGTCTCAACAGAGCAGAAGGAATGAAGACAGAGAAAAGCATCATCTATTTTGTTTTCTTCTTAAATTTAAAGTATGGTCACTTCAATATGCACATTTTCTTCTAATTCCAGGGGCATAAAAGTATGAGGATTTCTTAATTTCCTCTCCAACTAATTTCAGAGAATGTTCCCATAATTGGGAACTGATTGCATTTTGCGTGACATAGTTGTCAACCTCATGATGTTAAAATGATGACATAGCATTCATGACATCATCACACCAATAGTGCAATTATTCATGTCATATTATTTGACACAAGCATGCATCTTGCATTATGTGTGATGATACCATGAGACCTGAGTGGTTATTCACCCCACTTCTTGCTTCTACCCTGGATGCTTATGGCTACAATAATCTGATTTTTCATCTGATCCAGCAGAACCATTTATATTCTCGTTAATCAACCTAGTCAACATACCTTGCTTATGCTTGAGTTTTATCATGATAAGGAAATTATGTATAAATATAACAAATAAATAATTGTTAGGCTATTTTTAAAAATCTTCCTTAGGTATTTTGAAATACATTTCCTCATAAAAGATAGCAGATTTTTAAAATATAGTCTTTCAAAGTCTCTTTTTGGGAAATTCTAGTGAAATCAACTGTGGGGGGGGGTGTTCAAAAATATGTGAATTGATTTATTTTAGATGAAATTATCCCAGAAGAACTAAATCTTAATAGGTCTTCATATTTTATCCTAATATCGTAGTGGTGTAGTGGTTACAATGCAGTACTGCAGTCTAACTCACTGCTCACTGCCAGGAGTTGAATTCTGAATGGCTCAAGGTTGACTCACTCTTCCAGCCTTCTGAGGTTGATAAAATGAGGACCCAGATTGTTGGGGGCAATATGCTGACTCTGTAAACTGCTTAGAGAGGGCTATAGGTCTAAGTGCTATTGCTGTCATATAACATTACATGGAATAGTTCTTCTAACCTGTTCCTGAAGAATCCTCTTCATCTGTAAAAAGAAATACATAACAGGTAAAATGGAGAATTGTGACAAGAAAAAGCAACAATGTAGTTTAGTAAAAGTGGAGGAAAACAAGAAACCTGTAATAGAAGGAAGGGAAAACCATGATAACTGGGGGAACTGGCAATGACAAAGGTAAACTTGTGGAGAAAGCTTTATGGGAGCGAGCAATGGTCAACTTTAATGCTGCACGCAAAAACAAAAATGGGATAGATGATGTGTAATCCATTATTAAAACATGGGTTTGAATGGGAGCTTTCAAAATGGCTGTGTTTGTTAGACACAAAATACAAAAACTGAGTGGGAAAATGGAATACAAAAAAGTTACAATGAAAATTAAGGTCAACCATACATCTGACCTGAAGAAGATGTTGTTTCAGTGACGTTTCCGTCTGCAAGTAAAATGTGTACCACAAATATATTTAACACCATGATCTTTTGGGTTTTTTTTTAAGAGGTAAAAATAATATAATCAAGAATAAAAAAGAACAAAAATTGCTGAAATCAAACGATTATTTTTCTTCATTCACATTAAGATTACCTATGTAAAAATAATATAAATGTCATGCCTGTTATTTCTGTCAAAATTAAGACACAGGGTTGGGTTTGCATAACATGTTACACTAAACTAAAAGGGGTTGGGAAAATCAAAGTTTGAATGAATGGAAAGGAGGAGAGGAAAGGATAATATATTCAGCCTGTTGTGGAAATGTAGCAATTGTTTTAGCATATTATGGCAAAAAGGCCATCATGTTTATTCATAGTATGGGTTTATGTTTTTGGACATAGTATGTTACATTGACTCAGATATTGTACTTCCCTCACCTATACTGTACAATGTCCAGTATAGTATGTAAACCCAGCCTTCTAGAATGTTGTATGCATGCCTATTAAGTTTAAAAGGCTTTTCTTCCGAGTAGAAGATTGCATTTTGACAGAACATTAATTCAGTGTTCTGTTCCTTTCAAAGGAAGAATTAAGCATTAAGATTACTCATCATAAGTTAATGGGCCCTAAAACTGAAATCAATTAAAAGCAATAATGAGGACTTCATCCAATAATAATTACTTCTACAACGATATTAAGAAACATTATTGTTACACTATTAAAAAACAGACTAGGGGTGACATGATGGCAGCGATCCAATATCTAAGGAATGCCACAAAGAATGGGGGCGGGGGGTCAACCTATTTTCTAAAGCACCTGAAGGCCGGACAAGAAGCAATGGATGGAAACTAATCAAGGAGAGAAGCAATCTAGAACTAAGGAGAAATTTCCTGACAGTTAGAACCAATAATCAGTGAAATGACTCAGGTCCAGAAATTGTGGGTGCTCCAATACTGGAGGTTTTTAAAAAGATTGGACTATAGCCACCTGGGAATATCTACGTGTTTGTGTGTGTTTGTTAAAAAAAGTAAATATGGCACCCACAAACATGTGATTGAAGTCCTGCTCTTTTTAAAAATTGTGTTGCACTGAGACTAAAAGAGGCTGGCTTCAAACACATGGTCAGAGCTGCTATTTTGATGTTTCATGCACCATGTTTCATGATCCCCTTTAAGTGTCCACTCTCAGGCAGAAATAAACAAAATATTTGTTCCTCCCAATGTTTCAAAATTGTTCTTTTCAGCTCTCAAATGTTGCTTCTCATTACTAAGGAAGGAAACCTGAAGCACATCTTAGCTGAGGAACAGGCCCAGAAAATAGCCTTGGTACTGATATTAACCAACTGCCTTTCAATCAAAAGCATGAAAAAAGAAAGCAAGATGAAGACAGCTAATATGTCTGAAATCATCACTTTCAATACAGAGCTGAAAATTGAGAAATCTAATTGTCGGATTTCTTAGTATTGACATTTGTTAGAAATAACAGGAAAAAGAGAGAGAGAAAAATGTTGATACAATCGAAACCCAGTCAATCAAGGATGCTACCGTATAGCTACAATATTTTGCAGGACTGGTTACTATTTTGTTGAGAGATCTGAGAAACTGGACAATCTGAATCCAAACTATTACTGTGGCTCAGACATTATTCTTCAAAAATATATTTAGCTTTAATCACATCTCAATTTCTTTTAAAATTGACTTTTAGAAAATCCTTTCTTAAAATCCTTCACTGAACATCTGATCATATTTAATTCAGCATGTGTTGTCATAACATCTGTGCTACACATATAAAAAGTAGACTAAAATATAAAAATGTAATAAGAAATAACAAATGTAGAAATATACCCAGTGATTCCAGTATTTCTGCTGATGGCCTGTGTATATACCTTTACTGCAATGGCTGTTAAAAGAATATAGTATGAAAGAAGGAAAAGGACAACTTGTTTAACATTTATAAGATGTAAGGCAGTTGAAAACTGGGTTGAATTTTTTTTTCTAATTTTCCTTTCCAGATCTGCCATGGTTGATCCAATTTTAAAAATGGTAAACGTATTCTAGAAAGCAAGACAGATTTCATAGAAACTGCAATCACACATTCCATATGTTGACAAAGTAGAACCAGGCTAGAATAAGTTAAAAGAAAATAAAAGAGGGTTCATTAGATAACGGGATACCTGATGGGATTTAGAGAATATTAGTAAATCAATGTTAGTATTCCAAGTTATAGTCATATTGTAGTTGCTATATTTTCTGAAAAAAGGATGTTAATAAATACATATTAGGGAATAAAATATATGAGAAACATTTATACATATATTGTATATTACATATTGGTACAAACAAATGCTATATGTATGTGGATATAATATCTCTATCTCTATTTGTCTGTTTGATTATCTAAATGTTGAATAATACTGTGATTACATCTTTTAATGATTTTATTCTAGACAAGTGGTGACATTTTATATCGCTGAAGCTTTTCCAGAATAGATGTAATGTATACAATAATAATTCAGTATTAACTTGTTAAATCATAAATGTCTACAGATTGCTTTACCTTACCCATAAAAATAAGATGTATTCTTTGTTTTAAAAAAGTGTACACAATGGACCAAATCAACTGTTAAAGGAAAAGGGAGAAAGACAGTGAGTAAACTTTGACTCTGAGACATGCACAAAAATAATCCAGGATGGTATAGGGTTGATTATACTTTTAAGAGAAATGAAATTCAAATTGAGTAGGGGGACCGGACTAAACAAAGAAGAACAGAAACATAATCTACCTGAACTGTAGCTTTTGAAGAATATTTGTACTCACCTTTTTCTGCGGGTTTCTCATCTTTCTGAGCGTTAGTTTCTACTATATAGGAAATAGAAGCACATTTTTAAAAGAAAAACCCCGATCATAAATATTTTGTATGTTTTGTGATACTAGTGTTAACACTGTATTAACATTTTAAATGTGTAAACTAAACTATTGGGAATTGGGATACTTCATAGCAGTATTAAAAATAACTTGAATACCTTTACATAGCATAAAACTGGAACTTTGCACTTTTTTTGTTTCTTTGTTTTTTAATAAAAAAACCCACTTGTTAGCATACAACCTCCTAAGGACAGGAATGGCACCTATTTATATATGGTGAATTATAGTTTCCATCAGTCTGCACTTAAAACATGGGTACTTGTGCAGGAAATGAAATAATGCAATGTAGCATTAACAATAGCTACGAGAAAAACCTCTATTTAGAATCTGATCAGAGTAATCAATAGAGATGAAGAAAAATGCGAAAGACTGCATTTGCTTCGTGTACCAAAGTAGAATTGTGATGGCTTATTTTATAAATAAAACTTCCTTAATTATCCCAAGGATACCACAGCAACTAAGCAAGGCCCATATAGGTTACTATTTGAACGGAGGACTATCAGCAAATCCATAGAGTATAGGCCAACTCAGTAGATATAGATTTACATTTCAGAAAATGCTGCTGAAAAACAGTATGGATGTGTCCTTGTAGTCAACAGGAAGCAAATTCTGAGAAACTTTGATCTTTCTGTTTCCTAGACAGTACAGAACACTGTACTAGCAACTAAATCCTTAGAGAGAGAGAGATTCTCAGAAACTCAACAACACACAACAAAATATTAATGTGTGGTAGAACAAGTTTATACTTCTAATCGCTTCTTTAGATTCCTAATGGGACCTTTACAATATTCTGCTATTTTAACAAAATTACAATAGACAGATAAAAGAGAGAGAGAGGTCTTGTCTAGAATTTGAAGAATACTTGTACTCACCTTTTTCTGCGGGTTTCCCTTCTTTCTGAGCGTTAGTTTCTACTATATAGGAAATAGAAGCACATTTTTAAAAGAAACACCCTGATCATAAATATTTTGTATGTTTAGATACTAGTGTTAACACTGTATCAACATTTTAAAGGTGTAAACTAAACTATTGGGAATTGGGATACTTCATAGCAGTATTACAAATAACTTGAATGCCTTTACATAGTATAAAGCTGGATCTTTGCATTTATTGTTTTTTTTTCTACAAAAAACCCACTTGTTAGCATACAATCTCCTAAGGACAGAAATGGCACCTATTTGCATATGATGAATTATAATTTCCATCAGTCTGCACTTAAAACATGGGTTCTTGTACAGGAAATGAAATAACAGATAGATGATAGATAGATAGATAGATAGATAGATAGATAGATAGATAGATAGATAGATAGATAGATAGATAGACAGACAGACAGACAGAGATTGACAGACAGAAAGACAGACAGACAGACAAATAGATATTTTACTAACCTGGAGGAGGTGCACTTTCTTGTACTGGTATATCTGAAAAGGTTAAAAGAGAGATATTTATAACGTTCTGAAAGAAATGAAATATACACAATGATGCTTCTGTTTTACTGTATAGTAATATATTAAAAAGATTTTAGTAATAATTTGTGTCTGGAACTCTGCACTTTGATAACATAAATTCTGTATTATGACAGTTTAAAAAATCACGTCACACTGTTCTTATTATAAATATGTACACAACTGGGCTCCATTTGCATAGAGCCTATTACAGTATGGTGCATTATTTCAGGCAGTTTTTTTAAAAAAACCAAATTACTAGAAAGTTTCCCCCCTCTTTTCTATAATAAACAGTTGTTGTTATTATTATTATTATTATTATTATTATTATTATTATTATTATTATTATTATTATTATTATTAAGCAAACATTAATGCACAATATTTTTCAAACATTTAATAAAAAAAACATTATTCCCCAAAATGCTGACAATCCATATTGCTGCCAAGTCTTGAAAAAATGGTTGCAGGACAACTAAAAATAACTTTTTCTCCAAGCAAAACTAGGATTGGCAGCAGGGTCGTGTCCAACATTTCTTCATGGAGCCTCTGGTCTGATTTCATGCAACTTCAGTCTAATTTCCAATCTGCTATGAAGGCAGCCAGTGCAGACAGACAGACACACACACACACACAGAGTCTGACTTTTATTCTTCCCATGCAGCTCACAGTTTGGGAGATAGAGGAAATGTTGTCAGAAAGAGCGTAGGAGGGGGCTTTTAGAGAATAATTATTCCCACCTCTTAACTGTGAATTCTAGAGGAAACTCTACTGAAAGTGCATTGCCCAAGATATTACCCCAATAGAAAAAAAAGGTTGCTAATCCTTAATTTACAAAGCTAAACCTCTATTAATCACTGGTTTCATCAATGGATCATTGAACAGCTAGCTTTGGGACTGCGGTGCTTGCGCACACGACTTTGTCCTTGCATTAGAACATTTAATCCTACCTAGACAACTTTAGCTATGGAGCGTCTGCAATAGATTTTTAGGTGGGGGACAATAGGGATGGTTGGTATGAGGGCCTTGTCTTACATAGCATTCTAAGAATTCCTACAGGCTCAACTGAACAGGGAACTCAACTACCTAGAGGTTTAAATTTGGTTTACCCGCATGGAAGGGTATTTCATGCATGTCAGTGTGTTTTAAATAGGACCCTTTTTTGAATGCATAGCATTATCCTACTGCAGTCCTGTGGTGCTCCAGATGTTGTTAAAGTACTCTTCTCAGCTTTCCTCCTATTTGCTATGTCAGATGAGGCTGCCATGTGATTCACTTAATAACCTTGGCTAAAAAAAAAAAAGATCATAAAATAGCTGCAATTCACTTAGCAAGCATCTTGCTTAGCAACTGGAATTCTGTTCACAATTCTGGTTGTAAGTTACAGATTATCTGAGCATGGCTGTGGCTGTGGCCATGACAAAGAAAACAAATGTCTAGTTCTGTGATGGCAAACCTATGGCCACATGCCAGAGGTGGCATGCAGAGCACTCTCTGTGGCCGTCACCTTAGCTCAGCTCCACCACACATGCGCATGTGCCTCCTACCAGCCAGCTGGTCTTTGGGTCTCTGTTGTACATGCACAGGTGCGTGTATTGTATTTTGGGGAGGGCATTTGGTACCAAAAAGGTTAGCCATCACCGGTCTAGGTGCTTTAAATCAGGGGTCTCCAGCCTTGGCAACTTTAAGACTTGTGGACTTCAACTCCCAGAATTCCTGAGTTAACATGACTGGAGGAGGAATTCTGGGAATTGAAGTTCACAAGTCTTAAAGTTGCCAAGGTGGGAGATCGCTGCTTTAAATAGTTTCTTAGAACTGATAGTAGTGCTTCTAGCCAGAATACAGGTAGTCTTTGATTTACAACCATTCATTTAGTGACCATTCAAAGTTACAAGAGCACTGAAAAAAGTGACAAATGACTGTTTTTCACACTTACCACCAGGGGTGGGATTCAATTTTTTAACAACCGGTTCTGTGGGTGAGGCTTAGTTGGTGGGCGTGGCTTGGTGGTTATGTGACTGGGTGGACATGGCCAACTCAATATCACTCACACTGAGGCACGCATCTCCTCACCTGGCCTCTCATGACTGTGGGGATGCTGCAACAGTCGTAAGTGTGAAAAATGGTCATAAGTCACTTTTTTCAATGCCATTGTAACTTTGAATGGTCACACAAGCAAAGTACCAGCAAAGGAAGGAAAAAAAAAACTCCAGAGAAGTTCCTGAGACAGAAAGCCTAGTCCTGCCAAGAATGTAACAAGGGTTAGCGGAGAGGCAGTTTCTGTGAGCAACAGCAGAATGTTTCCTTCCTGCCTTCTTTACAGGATTAGGCCAATAATTTCTTCTAACAACCGTTTCTCTGAACTGCTTGGAATGTTAACAACCGGTTCTAGTGAATAGGTGCGAACTGGTAGAATCCCACACCTGCTTACCACCATTGCAGTACCTCCATGGTCACATGATCAGAATTTAGATACTTGGCAACTGATTCATATTTATGACGGTTGTCCTGGGCTTATATGATCCCCTTTTGTGATCTCCTGACAAGCAACATTAATGGGGAAGCCAGATTCCCTTAACAATCGTGTTAGTAACTTAACAATTGTTGCAAGAAAGATCGTAAAATGAGACAAAACTCACTTAACCACTGTTTCCCTTAACAACAAAAATTTTGGGCTCAGTTGTGGTTGTAAGTCAAGGACTACCTGTAGAAACAACCTTGATCTAAATGTAGGTGGTAACCATAATCTGGTGTGAGGCATTTGTCTGAAACTAGTAGGAAACAATGGCCTTAGGGCTATTTCCTTTAACTTGCATGCAAATGGGAAACTGCCATTGTTTCCGTTAACTAAAAAATGAGAAAGTTCTGAAAAATGTTAGGACTGGTTAAAAAGAGACAGAAGGGTTAAGAGGATGAAATTTCTTTGTAATGCTTAAAGACAGGGGTAGAATTCTACTGGTTCGGACCGGTTTGGACGAACCAGATGATAAATTTGCATCTGGTTTGCTGAACCAGTATTTGAACTGACTGGCTTGCCCTGCCCACCCCACCCTGCCCCAGCCATTTTCGATGCAGGTAAGTGCAGGGTGCGCATAGACTCGGGTGTGTGTGTGTGTGAAATGGGACTTCCAGAAATACCGGAAGTCTAGAAACGGGCCTGTTTCTTGCTTCTGGAGGCCCTCCAGAGCCTGGGAGAGGCCATTTTCGGCCTCCCAGAGGCTAGAGGGAAACCTTTGGACCCTTGGGAAGGCGAAAAATGGCCCTCCCAGAAGTTCCAGTAGGCCATGCCCACCATGGCCATGCCCACCCAGCAACTGGGCAGCGAACTGATTGCTGGGATTTTTGAATCCCACCCCTGCTTAGAGATGATTTTAAATCACAACAACTGAAGTCCGAGTGGAATGAATCATGCATTGTAAGAAAAGGTCAACCAAGTCCAGGAAAAGGGCCACAGGATTTCTCCCAGAACCCTATTAAAGGAGTCTGCCTTCAGAAATTAGAAAACCCACCAAGAGCAAAAAGCAATATAAACTCTGGCAGAAAAAGTATGGGGTCACCATAAGGAAGAAGTGGAGGAGGGTATGATAATCAATCAACCAGAACTTTTTTTTCATTCTATTCAGTGCAGAAAACCAGCCAAAAAAGCAGGTGATTTGTTAGATGGCAAAGGAGGAATAAGGATACTGTAGAACTGATGAAAAACTGAATGAATTCTTGACCTCTGTATTTTCTACAGAAGGTATAGGAGAAGATCACTACGTCTCCGATTGAGAGAAGCCAGTTGAGGTAACAAGAGAAGATATTCTGGGACCTCTTGAGAGACTATACAGTAATAAATTGCTGAACTCTAATGACACCCACCCAAGAGTTTTAAAGGCCTCGGTTGTGAAATTGCTGACCCCTTTACAAAATATATAACTTATCCTTTACATTGGGCTCCCTAGGAGAGAACTGGAAGGTAGCCAATGTGACATCAATTTATAAAAATGGACTCAAAGGAGAGGTAGGATATTATAGACCAATTAATTTAATGTCTGCTCCATGCAAATCTGTAGTAATCAAAGAAAAAAAATTACTAAATACAGAGGGAGGGAAATCTGCATGGATTCTGCAGAGCTAAATCCCATCTGTCCAATAGTTTAGAGGGTATCTGCTGGCACATGGAGAAAAAGGCACAATCAATGCTAGGAACCATTTGGAAAGAGGTTGAAAATAAAATGCTTAACTTAATAATACTCTCAGATAACTCTTATCATATACATGTCCATCTGAAAAACTGTGTACAGTTTTGATTTGAAAAAGAAAGGATTTAACTGAGCTTCAAATGAATTCATCTAAAATTATCAGGCAGTACAATCACCTTCCTATGAGAAAGAGCAAGAATGTTTGCCTTTAGCTTCACAAAAAACAAACAAACAAACTATGAGACAGGTGGGGATTTGATCCAGACCTCTAAAATTATGCAAAGGATGGAGAAATCAAGACCGATGAACCTTACAAAAGCAGAGCAGTCAAAATACAGCATAATTAATCTGTGGGAATATACCACTCCAAGGGAAGGCAATGGCCACATTAATTTAAATGGCTTAGAAAGAAACTAAATACTTTTATGGAAAGGGCCTATTTAAGAGCGATTAGGCTTTAAGATTGGGGGGCGGGGAATGGGCCTTCCAGAAATTCCGGAAGTCTGGAAATGGGCCCATTTCCGGCCTCCAGAGGGCCTCCGGAGCTTGAGGAAAGCTTCCAGAGCCTGGGGAAGGTGAAAACGCCCCCACCCCCATTGCGGTGCAGGAGGCCGACTAGGCCACACACCATGGCCATGCCCACCCAGCAAGGGCAGAGAACCCGTTGCTGAATTTTTTAAACCCACCTCTAGTATGTACGTACTGCTGCTAAAACCATATTATTTTGTGTTTTAGCCAGGAGGCCAGTGATCGTTGACAATAAAATATACTTAATTGTAACTACCTCCAATG